TGCGAGTCGGGCTCTCATCTACGAATTTAGTCATCCCAGGTTACGAAGCGATCGGATCAACCCGAGCCTGCCGTCACGGACGCCAAGGCTACCAAGTACAAGCTAGCTCAGTCCGCCGCCCGACTGAATGTCTCCGGTAGATGGCGCACGGCGTGGCTGTGGGGTTTGGAAGGCCTCGCGTCGCCAGGTACAGATGCAACGAGATGCAAGATGTTGCGTCGACCACGATCGCGGAATTGGGTGCCGACTGCGCGACCGCCACCGACGCGAACAACGATATCTGGGGCGCGTGTTCGCGTGTGTCGGCACGAACGTCTCGAACAGATCGACGTATCACGGATGATATGCTCGACATCACCAAGTTCAGGTACTTGCAGGCTCCTGAGACGGCGGTCTTGTTGAACGAACCCAACTACATCGCCAGTCACCTGTCTTCCTCCCCAAGTCATCACGTATTTGAGCGACGACGGCGAGCCGCCCCGCATCACCAATTCGTCGGTAACTGCCTCGAAGACGACATGTTGGCAGACAACGTCGACACGCGAGACTGGTCGCCTGGCTCGACCATCTTCAGCGCCGTCGACACAAGGTCGTGGCCTTGCACAACTGTGGCGGGTGTGCCGGGACCTGCGGCGCCAACACCGGCTACAAGCTCGAGCGCATTATGAATCTGTTGAAGTCCTAGGACGGCTACGCAGACTGTTGGATTGCACCTGGTCTTGTCGTCAAATCGGCCAACGTCGACACGTTGGCAACTCGGGGTTGCCGATACTCGACGCCCTCGACAGCAATGTCGTGGCATTGCACAACTGCGGTGGGTGCACTGCGACGGGCGGTGCGAACACAGTGTAGTGAATGTAATCTATGGGCGTTTGCTTTTCTGTGAATATGATCGACCTACGCTGTGATTGTTCCGCAAGTTGTGTTCGTTCGCTGCACCTGCTTGAATCGCCTGGAGCTAGCACGAAGTCTCACCCCGCCACATCTCGCCCTTTTGCACTGCTACTAGTTCCGATTGGCAGAGTGCCACGTCCCGTCGCGATTATTCACGCGGCGTGGGGTGCAGGGCACAACTACACACAATTGTGAACAACTCCGTTTCAGTGCTCAGAAGGGCAGGCTGCGGAGAATGCGTTGGTCGAAAGCCATTGTGCGAGATCACTACATCGCACTGCTTTGTTGGTTGGTGTCAGGAGAAGTGTGCCCATATTTGGGGGGAAGAGTGGGGTCGGAGGTGTATGGGACTGATTCAATTTGCTTTGTTTTAGGGAGTGGGGAGGGTGCTGAGATGTGTGTCTCTGACGCGGTCAAAAGGCAACCCAGATTGACATTCGAGTCTGCCCGTTGAATATTCGGCTCCGAAATTTCCAGGCGGCACGACATATCCATTGAAAGTGAATTGAGCCAATCAAAACATTTGATATGGATTGCAGAATACTGTGGAAATTTTCAGCCAATCAAAAACTCCCTCTTGAGACAATTCCTAAGTGGGGGAAATAAACCCCAACAAATGCAACCAGAGTTCCAACACGCAATGGCAGCAACGATCCAACAAGTTCATCCAACACCAAATATACCGACCGTCCAACACAGTTCGCTCAAACTTGTTCACGCGCGATCGTGTGGCTCTAGTCGCACCAATGATACGCAAGTTGACTCCGCTCGTCCTGTTCGTGTAGCATTTGAGGACGATTTCAATCGTGCTCGAGCTTTGAACACACTTCAAGCACGGGCGCAGCAAAATATGCAGGACGGGTCAGCTACCATCGTTGGGCTCCTATATGCTGACTATCACATCAACAATACTCAAGGCTGCGCCAGTCGGCCGTTGTCGGTGTCGTGAAATCGTGGCTGCATAGCACCGACCCGCTGGTTGACTCCACCTAGTCGGCACGCACGAAGAGAACCAGGCAATCAATAATAAGAATGGTTGGCATTGACGCGAGTTAATGCTTAATGATAATAACTTCTTGGCGATCTCCTTGGTAACACAGGAGGTCAGTGGCTTCGTCGGCCTTTTCCTCGACTGTCGTGGGATGCGACTTCAGGGGGATGCCAAAGAACTGCTTGACTTTCTGCGATGCTCGGACGGGGTGCGACGAGGTGTGGTTGGTTGCGTTGGGAGGCATCTTCGCACTTGGGGGTTAATTTGATACTGGCACTGAATCGCGCCATCGCTTCGAAGCGGCTTGCAACCACCCACATCACCGCAACAAGCCTCATGTCGCATCTCGCGCCAGGCAACCATTTCAGCCTCTGCCCACGACACAGAACGTACAAGCCAGTTTAAACCTAAAATCAACTGTAGCATTCACTGCATCAGGCCTAGATTATCCTATTTCAGAGCTATTTCGGCTCAAATATGGAGGATTTTACAAAGTGCATGGAATTGCACTGAACGTTTTCCCATGGTAAAGGTCCGCCAATCAAACTCGTCGTGTGAGGTACGACACTCCAGGGTCGCGTGCGACGAGGACATATCGTTTAAGTACGCCACTTCATTCGTAGCTGCATTAGACCCCAACAACAATTTGGAGAATTGTTCGATTCGTGTTGAGTACTATTTACAGACAGTTGTAATAGTGCTGCTCGTTGTTTTTCTCGATGCTGGGCACGTCGAAGTACACTACTTCTACATGTAGATTGCCGTGTATCGGCGCATCACATCATTCGCACTTTACAGAGCTTCGGACTTTAACCACCTCTCTCCGGATGTTTGCTAGGCAGAGATGCGACGAGGCAACCCGATGGACGGTGTGGGTCAGCCAGGCAAAAGTTGGAAAATATTAGCAACGCGACGAGCACGCCCCTCGACCCCCCCCGTGAAATGAGTCTGGATTATACGTAGTTAAGGCAGTCCGCTCCGAGGGCCGTTTGTTGTACACGAACAGTCTTGGTAGTCCCGCCGCGCCTATTGTGACGCCCCAGCTGGATCTTGCGCGGAATTTCCGACTTGTGTTGCTCCAATGCTTCATACTTTGCGCGGGCACTGTGCTTCGACAAAGTCCAGTCCTCGTATTCGCAGGATGCACTTGATGGCTGGCTTCTGCAGGGGGAATGGAGAATGTCTTGGCTGATGCTTTCCGAGGAAGTCGGGGTTGATCGACACCCCAACATTTAAGACAAGAAACCGATACCAAGTGAAGTAAAATACCCCCTTCACTCAGCCACATGGTCATGTTCATTAGTGCCCCGTCGCATTCTAACCGCCGAGTCGCTCGGGATTCGCCGGGGCGAGGACAGGAGGAACGGAGAGCACTTGAAAGTGGCCAGAACAAGTGTGTACAGCCGAGACGACGCCGTGGCCGGTGGGTGTTGTGCTCTAGATATATCTACTGAGGTGATATCGAATGCGACTCGTGCGACCGCGCATCGCCGTGCCGGTGTGGCTGCACATCTTTTTCACAGCCCAAAGATTCGATGTGTTATACAATGGCCACCGGCGCTGTCGACTGCGCGTCAAAGAAGGCACAGCTCATGCTGGTCTTGGCCGCGGTTGTTTAAATTGAATCTGTAGCTTCTTCCTTGGCTATGTGTCTGTGGACAGACACGAAAG